CGAGATTCAAACCCGGAACCTTTGGTCATTGAGTTAAACACTCTACCACGGCACTACGGGCTCGTTGCTTTGTCGGTTGAGATCGACTCACTCGAGCCTGCACCGCGAGGCAGCTAAGGATATATACACAAGGACACTACTGTGGCAATTTCTGGCTTATTAGCAGCCGTCAGCTAGTCATACCCACACCCAAGTGGTGTGACACCCGAGCCTCGAACTCGCGACCTCTCTGATCAGAGTCAAACGCCCTAACCATTGAACTACGAGCTCACTGTCTTGCCGGTATTTGATCGAGGATATACAGTGCCAGATCTGTGTCTGCGTCCTTAAACACCTGTGTAACGAACTCACCTCTCAGCTTTCATTAAGTCTGGTGACAAGCAAGTGATACTGGTTTGAAAATATACAAGTAAATCTCTTCTTTCCGACGAGCCTTCCCTTTTCATCAGATAAACTCAGAATGCATATTATGTGCTTCTATCGAGCCGAAGAGGACTGCTAATAAGGGCAAGGAAAGGTGGTCCTGTGCAAACTGTAATGAACAGTAGGACATGCTCAGCACCATATTCTGACGAAGAGAAGGCATTACATTCACTTAAGAATGGAAACGTCCTAATTCTACCTGCGGAGAGAGGAAGTTCCACGACTATTTGGAGCAAGACAGACTACAAAAAGGTTATGAGAAGAAGACGACTCGATTGCTGAGAAAAAACTTTGATTCCCCTGACGTTTCGAGATCCGTCGCGGATTCATTATCAAAAAGTAATAGCAGATACAGGTTAGAGGTTATACTAATTGTAAAGAACAGCCCCGCGCACACACTCTTAACTACCGATGCTACAAAGTCGCAGAACTCACACACCGAGGGCGACAATAATTCCCGAATTGGAATGCTGTAAGGTAACCAAAGGAATGTCTATGAAGGTTAAAAAGGCAGTTAGTACAACAGCTTACTCTGTTCAGCCATACGTTCCTGGGGGAGGACGCGATATTCGAAGAAGACTGTAACAAGCCAGGGCATTACAATGTTGTAGATCAGTATGGTATAGGCGAGTCCAACAGGAGAGGAATTCTCCGGGCAAAACTGCAAGGAACAGGTATACAGCATGCATTAAAGGACTTCAACACATGTTCGAAGACCCTTGTGTGCAAACACGCGCTACTATTAGGTATGTGGGTGTGAAAAACGCGTAGATTTTTTTGAGTAAATAGGTCGTGCGAA